CCGGGTCAGAGCCCATTCGTCCCCTAAGATTCGCACCCTGTGCCCACTCGTCCCCTGGAACTTTTGAGGGGCCTATTCGTCCCCTGAATAATATTTATTTTTATTCGTTCTTCTAATATAAGTACATGTATATATGTATACTGCAGCTTGGTAGTCCTGGTACAGTCGCGCAGAAAAGGGTAAAATAAAAAAATATAGTAATTTGGTAGATATCATGTTTATTTTAAATAAGTTTAAGTTTAATAAATAACCTCTAGGCTCTAGGCATTAAGTCAGTCTTCAAAATAAGTTATCAGTTTTTGGTGTCTGGTACATTTGTAAATATTTAGCAAAATATGTGACAACTATAATATGTTTATGCAGTAAAATAAAACTGTGTAACTATTTAAATAAAATCCCAGTAATAACTGAATTTTAGATTAATTTAAATCCAGAGTACAAACAAATAACCAAATATCACTAGAATTAATGTTAGAACGTTCATTATTTTAGTACATTAAAAGAAGGACAACGACTCCACATTGAACTAATACGAAAAACAAAATACAAGATTATAATAACATCCACAAATATGATAAAATTATAATTGCGGATAATAAATTGCTACTTATACATATTTAGGAGTAAATAATGTAGTCAAAATATAACTGTAGTATTCCAATATAAAGTAAATTACCGTCAAATAATAATACTAATCATATTCCAGGATTCAAATGAGATAATTCGATTCAATTATGTTAAAAATATTATTATTATAATATTAACAATATTGTTTATTTCGTTAGGCGAACATCATTTAATATAAAAAAGACCAAAGACACATTGAAGTCTCGTATTCGTAGTCACTTTCAAGAACCAATATGTCACCGAGGCAGCCATAACATACAAATAAAACACCTTATCAATTTTGTACCCCGTTTTTTAAAAAGCCATTCGTAGAGAGACAATATTGCATCGTAGGCCTATCGACAGGTTATATTATTATCAATCATCATAGCTCTTTTTTCAATGATCTGTTATGATTTATTAAACTAATTCCGTTAATAAACTGTTCACAAGTGTACTATGTTAACCGTTTCTTGTGTAAAATTTAGCTTATTTTATCTCAGGGGACCAATAGGCACCTGAATAGGTGCCGAATCTTTAACTTATTATGTATTATATTAGAGGGGACGAATGGGTACCTTAAAAATAATATTTTTTTATTAAATATTAATTGGTCCCCTACCAGGAGACCAATGGGCACCTATATAGGGGCCGAATCCACAACTTTTATGCTGGGGGACGAATTTTAGGGGACGAATGGGCTCTGACCCA